TAATAATAATAATGATAACAATTATTGTTATGATTATCATTGTTGTTAAAGAATTATATATTTACTTGTTAATTTGATAAGGACAAATGCACAAAGCATTGCTTCATATGTGAAATTAAAAGTAGATGCAATGCATACAGGTTTTGAGCCATAGCTAATTTACAACCCCTGTCCCTGGCTTAATGGACCATTTTAGGGCTGAATCTTAAATCGGGTGTTCTCAAACTTTTGATGACTGCCATTTTAAGGAACCAGCGTATGATTAAGGGCTGCACAGAAAAAGTGAACACTATGAGTTTTTTATGACTTTTTTAGAACACACTAACACTTAACAAAAACTGTAACAATCAGCAGTGATACACAACAGTCATATTAGCCTACATTCTAGTTTTCCACCTTTCAATACATGGAAGTAATGAAACTGAGCACAGTGTTTGACAATGGTTGTCTACCCTCAGCAGTCAAGCAATGGCTTCTGCTGAGGGTACACCACTTTGACAAAGCACACACAGAACTGCAATGCATCATAATATTACAACAATAAATAATAATTCCGGTAGTTATAATAATATTTTGTAGACTTTTTTTCTGCTTTTATTTGAATATTGGGGGGATATTGGGTGGGATTTATATATATTATAATTACTGCATAGGAACAAAACTATATTTCAATATGGTAACCTCAGTCGCCGGTCAGCCATCACAGGAGAACTTCTTGTAAAAATGGAGTGAAAGGCCAGAGCCTGTGAGGGTGCTGGCCTGTGGGCATGTATGGCTGTAACAGTCACCCTGTTACTCTGCAGGTCAGTCTGAATATGACAAGATGAAAGCATCTGCCCAACAACACTAAGTTCCTGTCTGTGTGTGTGTGTGTGTGTGTGTGTGTGTGTGTGTGTGTGTTAACGTGCAGCAGAGGCACGTGGAGCTCCAACCTCTTGTCATCACCAAAACTTTCAGTGAGTGAAACGTGCATGTGCGCCTACGGCAGCATGTTGCTGTCACTACCCCAAATAAACCTGCTCAGTTTGTCTTTATGGCAGAAGTATTGTTATTCTAATTTTTTTATGACAAGATACTCTGATTGTATAAAATATATAAAGTCACATCTTTATCCACCCCATAGGGTGTGTGTAAATATCCACACAATATTTTAATATATTTCTAATACCAAGAAAAAAATGTCAGTCTACATATGTATTATCCAGTTTTTAAGAAACAAACCTTTACAAAGCTCTATTGACTGAGTAACACACATTCAGTAAATCTACATATTTGAAATACATAGAACTTATCAACAGTAATTACATAAACTATATCTAAGCAAATTATGTAAATTCTGTAAGCCAAATAAATTCTCATAGTCTGTTCATCTGAGTTTTATTTGATTTAATTTACATTGGAATTACTTGATGCAGCTAGACAATTTTTTAAAAATGTTATTGCAATAGGTAAATCTGACAATAGACCCACAGCACGGTGCAGTGGATAGCACTGTTGCCTACCATCAAGAGGGTTCCACCAGCCAGCCAGGGGCCCTCTACGTATGTGGGGTTTGCATGTTCTCCATTGTTTTCTTCAGGTACTCCTCCCATAATCCAAAGACTTGCAGGTTAGGTTAATTGGTGACTCTAAATTGGCTGTAGGTGAGAATGTTAGTGTGAATGGTTGTCTGTCTCTATGTGTCAGCCCTGTGATAGTCTGGTTACCTGTCCAGGGTGTACCCCAGCTCTCACCCAATGTCAGCTGGGATAGGCTCCAGCACCCCTGTGGATCACAGGATAAGCAGTTCCAGAAAATGAATGAATTAATGAATGACAATAGACCAAACAATTTTTTTTTTCATATTTCTCTCTAGTGTGCGGTCCAATACATTACATCAAAATTCTTCTTCTATGCATTTTAAGACAATAACATAAGCTGTGCATTTTTCTTAACAGGAGAATGATCACACACAATGGGATAATTGGTAAGTCTCTTTGAATGGCATCTGTCCACTTTGCCCGAGGGAAATATCTTGAAAACTATTTAATTAGATAAATTGTTGCAATTGTGGCATTCATGATCCCTACAGGATGGATCTGAAAAAATCAAGTTGAAAAGTTTCAAATAGAAACATCGGGGCTACCCTGTCTCTCCTGTCCTGAATGTTGTTAATCAAATTTTTTAATTGTATTTTTGGATCTAAAACCAACCAATCAAAATTGAGCAACCTGAATCGGAGCCAGAAGCAACTTTAGTGCAAAAGTCAATAATCATGAACAGAATCATTTGCAATAAAAATAATTTTAAAAAGTACTGTAATTATAACTAATGTGCAAAAAAAAATGACCAAGAAATGTGCACAACTGTACAGTAAAAAGTATAAGGAAAATGTTCGTCTACAAATTTCAGAAGCTTGATGGACTGGTGAGAGGAAGGGCAGCTGTTGGTGTACAAGGTGAAGAGCAGAGGGGAAAGGACCCAGCTTTGAGGGGAACCAGTGCTGATGGTCTGTGAGTCAGAGACATGTTTCTTAAGCCTCACGTGCTGCTTCCTGTCAGTTATTGCTAGACAAGTGTCATGCTTCAGTTAAAGGGAAAAAGCCCAAAGACAACTAACACTGCAACCAGCAGCATTGAGACAGTCTCCACAGGAAGACTCAACAGGATGACCACTGTGACCTGAGAGCTCCTTTACCAGCTGACGCAACTTCACTATATAAGGAAGCCTTGACTATAATGGAGGACATGATCTGAACAGTTTACGGTTAGGGGTTTGCTACTTTTTGCAATATGTGCACACAATTTACATTTCCATTTCATTGACTATGAAGAATGCGCAGGTAATATGAAAAACATCTGATTTCACCCATGTAGATGAGTCAAAAAAACTCAGTTTATAAAATTAAAATCTGAAAGTCGGTTTATAGTAAAATTTTGACATATGACAATATGAGTGAACAATATTCTCTTCAGTATTGCGAAAAGGTATATCAAACAGATAATCTGCAGCTTTGACAAATATTTCACAGCATAAATATGCCAGCAGCTGTCAGACAAGAAAAAATGTTTAAGAAATCCGACAGCCTGAGGGACTTCGTAAGGCTTTTTTTGATGATTATAATGTGTAAACAACTACTGTATTTGCTGTTGTTTAAGTGGTTTACTCATACGACCTATCATTTGAAAGCTACATTTCGACTGATGTGTGACAATTTAAGATACAACCACCACAGCAGGCTTGCTCAGAAACAAAGGGACATTACTCACCTATGAAGCCAATAAAAATCCTGGGAAATATTTAGTCCAAACACATTATTACGTCCACAGATATCCACAAACTTTTATTGCATCATTTCAAATATTCATATTTCACCACATACTATCGATAAATTCTTTTTGCACATCAACAGCTGTCTCCTTGGATATAAAAATGGTAGCAAACTTCTGACCATTTCATTGACACCTAACTTGAGCCAATAGAAACTGCCAATGTTCCTGCTATGACCTCGATAGTCAGTGAGGGCCTGTGTTGGAACAGTGCGCATCTCTCACACTTCCTGGTTTATAGCCAATTGGTAGCCAGTGATTGGCCCGATGGCTTATGGGTTGTAGTCAATGACACTCTCCTTAAGGGCACCGTAGACTGTTATAAATATAAATAAATGAGAAACAAATGGCTCCTCGGTTGTCTTAAGGGAACAACAATCTGTCTTATCAATTTAGGTTGTCAGTATGTGTTTTTATATATGGCAAGCTCCAGTGGTGTAAGGTAGTTACGCTGGGCCCCTGTGCATTCTAGTTGCTAGTTTTTCCTCCTGTTGGTTTCTCTCTTGTCTTTTCTTATTGCAGCTCTCCTGTTAAAAAGGCATGACTGCTCACTGGGCTTAACGTATGTGCCAAATTTGAAGAAAGTCCCTGGAGGCGTTCTTGAAATATCGTGTTCACAAGAATGAGACAGACAAGATCACAGACTTTTGATCACCTAAATCAGTTTATTCTTGAGTCCAAGTGGACATTTGTGCCAAATTTGAAGAAATTCCCTTGAGGCGTTCTTGAGATATCGCGTTCATAAGCATGGGACATGCTTTCATACGTACGTTCGTACAGACATATGGACAGACAGCCCAAAAACATGATTGCCATTGCGATAGCTGACACGGAGGCATAAAAATGGATACGGCGTTAGAGCTGGGGCCCAGTTCGTTCCTGAAAAAGCTGCTCAGAGATATTATCCAGATCTTCTGAATCATTGGGTCCATACATCAAGCACACTAAATTTTGCCGGCCAAACCAGCTACTTCCAGTTTAGCCCTCTCCTATCTTGAATGGCGATTAAATGATTCAATCTTGTGGCCCTTCTAGATTTCCCAAATGTTTTCGGACTAAATGGATCAAATTTTGACAGTAAAACGAGTCTTTCAATCACAAACATTGTCCTCAGGAATCACAACCATTTCTCATTTCCTGAGATGTTTCTATTAGCTAACTGATGATGCCTGACCAACACGTAAAGATGAGTCACCTGCCTACAGCTGAGATGAACTGATCCAAGCTTCATTACTTGACGTCATTCAAGTGGCTTTCTAGACAACGTGACATTCATTGACTGCTGCCCTCTGGTGTCATTCTGAGCTCCTTTAAAGCTCATTCACTCTTCTCTTCCTATTAGTGCCTGCAGTGCTCTGAGTGACCTTTTTTGTTTATCTGTGCTCTGCTGGAGGGCACACAGACAGTAATGACAGGTACAGGAGAAGCCTGCTGAATGGACCCATTGTGTCAACGTCACACGTGTCGGACGGACATTCCAATGACGCTTTGGCGGAATAACGTCTTAAGTTAATGATGTCGTCACTCTCGCAGACTACCTTAGGCCTTAGGTTACTTCGTTGTGATAGTCTCATTCACTCACACTCACACACACACACACACACACACAAACTGCATGACAAGGCACCCCCCCCCACCTTTCTCTCTCTCCTTCTCTCTCTCTCTCTGTGTCTCTCTCTCTGATGTGAATGTGTAAAAGGGAAATGGTCAGCGAGGGACCCTCATATGAAGCTGTGGGGGTCTCTGAGAAGGAAAGTGTCTGCACCCTCTACTCTGAGACAGGAGCTCCTCATAACCCTGCAGAATGCCTGGAAACATCAGATCAGGTAAGTACTGGTGGAATAGAACTTTGCATGAGGAAAGAACTGTCATTGTCTGCATGTCTGTCATTGCATTCTCTTCCATTTTCCCCAACCCACCACTAAATATTTCTTTCCCTTATTTCTGTTCTTAATTATGCATCCTCAAACATCCTGAGAAAAAAAAACACTTTAAAGAATCTCAAAACACAGACATACACACTTTTTCAAAACAGGATGACATGACCTTATCTCACTCTTAAGAACATGCTTCAGGAGACTTGTTCTGTGTTTTGGATCATTGTATTCGATGTTTTGTTTTATTTAATATCTCTGTTCTGTGCTTGGTCTTTCTCCTTAGTGTCTTTTGTGTGGGTGGTGTTGGTCTGTCTGCTGTTCTGCAGCAGACTGACCAGAGTGGGTGCAGCACCCCTCTGTGCCAATGCCCAGGCTGGGTGCCATGTCCTCTCCCTGGCGAACCTGTTTGACCGGGTCATCCAACACTCAGGCAGGATGCATGGCATTTCAAATGACCTTCACTCCGAGTTTGTAAGTCTCCCATTGCAATATGTCTGATGATGCTTTGATCAATACATACAATTCTTCAGTTGAAATGTGCTTGTTAATTATACATATATATCTGTGTGTGTGTGTGTGTGTAGATATAGATATAGGTATAGATATAGATATGCTGATCAGATTTAATACAAACTGAACATTAGAACCTTCATGAAGGAGGATTTATTAAAGGGCTGTTGCACCAGACAGCAACACACCAGATAGCACCTCACTAAAACTAATGCAGTCTAGCGCAATAGCCCTTTAATAAATCCTCCTTCTTAAAGGTTCTAATGTTCAGTTTGTGTTCAAACTGTTTACGAGAGGTGTTGATTCAACTGTATGATCATTTTGGAGGATGTAGTTTGTGCTGATGTTAAACTATTGTGTTATACTGCCAGATTTTATTATTCAGCCTACTGTCATTGATATAAATAGGGGGACACAATAACTGACCATTAACTGAAAATGTGCGCGCACACACACACACACACACACACACACACACACACAGATAAATATATCATTAGCCATTTATGATAATGTGCAATTGCAGGCCATTCAACTATTTCATTCATTACTTCTTTACTCCAGCTACAGTTGACATTTAAATGACACCCGACCTCTGACATTTCATTCCAGCATTTTCTGTTTGTCCTGTCAGGAGCAGTACTTCCTGCCCAGTAAGAATCAAATCGGCCGGGTCAGTCGCAACTGTCACACCTCCACCATCCTCACCCCAAATGGCAAGGAGAACGCTCAGAGAATGGCGGTGAATGAACCTTTATAAAGCTGTTTTCTGTTATTGACATGTGCTATCCACATTATGTTTACAGTTTGCTTTCCCCTCACTTAATTACAGAAGCGTATTGTTGCCACAGAACATGTCAAGAGCATGTCACATGCAGAGCATTTTTTTGAACTGAACTTGTGAACGATTTTCTGTTCACATGGAGAGGCAATTGTTATCAAGTTATGAAGTTGTAATGTGAAATGTTTCAAGTTATAACATGAAACGTTTTAAGTTATAACAAGATAAATGTATATTGTTATAACAAGAAGGGTTTCTTATTTCTTTCTTTTTTTACAAGAAAAGTTTCCGGTCATAACTGATTACTGATCTTTTTTTTTCTGGTGTGGCAGCAATATGCTCCACACTTAAACCCTTATATCACTTTACGTTTATTTGGCATCATCCCAAACTTCCAATGATTACTAATGAAACATCCATCCTACTTACTGAATGTTAAAGGATGACTTTGAACTAACTCTTTAATGTGTATGGTTCCTCCTGTCCTGTCGCTGTAGAGAGAGGAGCTGATGGAGGTGATTCTGAAGCTCCTGGTGGCCTGGAGGGATCCTCTGTGGCATTTCCATCAGAGCATGGCTCACCACGACTTCAACAACTTCAGCTCCAATAAAGCTCTGGAGATGAGCGACATGGTGCACGAGCTACGCAAAGGTGTAGAGAAAGTGGCTGAGAAGGTAATGCACATCTTATTTGAATGCCAATGTGAAAATGTGTGGGAGGTGGTTAACATGAGCAGTTAAAGGATGTGCTTTGAGTGTAGAGCTCATTCCAAGAGTCTCTACATAATAACATGATGATACAGGAGTGACAGTATGTGTGGAAGAGTAGATGCTCATCTGCTGTGTAATATAGCTCGCAGGGATGGAGTTTCGAGTCAGGCTGTGTAATTTCACTGACACAGACGACAAAGTCCTGACGTCACACAACAAAACTCAAACGGCACTGTCCACCCTCAGATGACCTAATGTTCAGACTCAGTGCAAACATTCAGACACAGTCCAGAGAGACAGGAAGGGACCACGCTCTCACCAGCCTGCCTGCTGCAACTCTGTCTGACTCTCTTTCTTTCATTCTTTCTTTTTTCTGTCTTTTTCTCTCCTTTGTCTTTCTTTCTTTCTTTGTCTTTCTTTCTATTATTCTTTTTTCGTTTGTGTTTTTGTTTCTTCATTTTTCTTTCTTTCTGTTTCTTTGTCTCTATTTTCTGTCTATTCTTTTTTTGTTTTTTCTTCTGTTTTTCTCTTATTGTTACTTATGTCTTTTTCTGTTTCTTTTTTCTTCCTTGCTATTTTTATTTCTATTCATTTTCTTTCCTTTTCCTTTTTTCCTTTCATTTATGATTCTTTTTTATCTTTTTCCTTTATTCTGTTGTCTTTTTATTTCATCCCCATTCTTTCCTATAGCCTATATTTTTCTTTCTTTTTCCCACTCTTTCTTTTTCATTCTTTTTTCCTTCTCTTACATTCTATAGTTATCTTTTATTCTTCCCCTCATTTCTTTCTTTTTCTTCCTCTTTTTTATATTTATTTTTCATCCTTTCTTTTATTCTTCCTTTCTTTCCTTTTTTCTCTTTATTTCTTTGTCTTTCTTTCTTTTCTTTCCTTCTGTCCTATTGTGTAGAGAGAATTACACACTAATGGGATCAAATGTTCATAACCATCTTGATGTTTCAAATGTTTGTCAGACTATACAATTTTTTTATACAAAATATATGTAAAATCATATCTTTATAATTTATTTGTAAGTGAAGGAAATGTATGAAAACTTTCTTCTCCCTGACCTTTGGGGTCAGTAAGGGTATGATGCTTGTTTTGTTATGAACTGCATTTTAAACTTAAGCAGGTGAAAAACACAATAGCTGAAAGAAGAAATACTGAACAAACAAAATCAGGATTTAAAAAAAATCTCTATTAAGAAATCAAGAGTGAATCATTATCCTGACAGATGTTTCTATTATTTCGCCCTCCCTCATTTACAACAATGAGGGAGGGCGAGATAACAGACACATCATATCTTGTAATTATGCCTAGCTGATATGTATGCGTGTATGTGTGTCCTCTCCTCTCCAGATGCAACTGTTGGGGTTAACAAGTAACACTGTCAGCAGCCTGGCTTCTCCTGAGGATTTGTTGCCACCTGACAGTGCTGAGTGGCGCCTGATGAAAGACTACGACCTCCTCTACTGCTTTCGCCGAGACTCCAACAAGGTCCAGAACTACCTGAAGATCCTCAAGTGTCGCATCGTTCCAGAGCACGGATGCTGAAGTCCAGATAACAGTGGAAGCTGCATTCAACTTATAAAACTATCAGCACAATGGAATGGAAACGCTTCGGTTACAGACTACACAGATAAATCTGTGGTTCAGTTGTGTTTTCTATCTGCAGGGATGTTAACTGATATCATGACTGAAGTTCTACTGGAACCCAAAGACTGTGCCCACCCCCTACTTCATGCACGATATTATATAGAGTGTGGACAAACCTGTGTAGAGTATGGACAGGAGGGAATGAGTGTAATACATGTTATTATAAACTCCTGTAAAGCATCTTTAAATATAATAATACCTTATAAAACATTTCAAGAAACATGGATGCAATGTTTTTTTGTCATTTCTACAGAGGGATACTCACACTGCTGCTGCAATACACCTAAGGTCATCATCAGAGCATTAGGACTGATAACACCGTCACCTCTGATGTGCTGTTAATGGTCTGAAGTTCAGCTTGTAAAGGATATGGTTACATTATCTATACAGTACTCACTTATGGAGTTACTGTGTGCTTACAGTGTAGTTGTATTAGGAAGAGATCATTTCACAGCCAGTGTGAATCAAAGCTCTAATCATTAGTAGAAGTCACTTAGACACCAAAACATGGGAGAACAGGGTCCAGGTTGAAAAATGCAGGAGTTACCCTTTAGGATAATGTTGAAAAAGGTGCAGTGGTTTGAATTAACAAAGAACATATGGAGCCATCTTCTCTCCTTGCAACAAAGACTTGATGTGTGCAGCAGCAAATGCCTGAGAAGATTTCTTCTCGTGAGATTTCGTGTTAGATAATTGTGGTGTGTGTGTGTGTGTCTGTGCTGCAGACACATGAACAGCTCAACTTAGAATGAGCACATTCTGCATTATTCCATAACTGCAAGGGAAATAATAAATCAGAACATGTAGTTTGACTTTGATTCTGTTTATTAAGTGAGAAAAACAAAACAAAAACATTGCACTGACAGTGTGTGCGGGTGGCTTCATGATGCAGCTGCTATGGTGATGACCTCAGGCCTTCCACTGATCTGTTCTACACAGGAAACATGAACGGAGCCGTCCCTGCAATCATACAGAAAGAATGACATACAAGCAGAACACACGCCATGACCCACGACCCATGACCCAACTCATGCACTGATCCTGGAAGGGCAGATACCTTTTCATGGTCACCACAGTGTCGATGTCGTGGTTCTCCTCTTTAGGCTGCAGGTTCTTCAACACAATCTATAAATCATACACACAAGCAGGTACATAATAAAGTTATAAGTAGGGATTTATTAATCATTTTCATGCTCTGATGAAGGTCTAGTAGACCGAAAGCTCAACAATAAAGTGAAATACTGCAAGAAATCCATGCCCATAGGCGCACAGATGGACGCAAAAGCATTTGCCACTTATACAACGTGGGCACTGGTGCTACTGAGCACTCCAACACAACCAGGATGTGTATGTAGTTTGACATTTGATCCGGGGTTAGTGCTTTTATATTACCTTAGCTAGTTTTTCAGGCTGCTCCGTGACACATCTCTGGTAAATCTCCAGACACAAGGAGGACAGGTCCCCCCCTCCACTCAGGATGTGATGTCTGCGGGCAGGGAGGGGCGTGCCTGATGGAAGTAGAACAGTGAATACCTCGGCTCCGTTTTCATCCACCTCCTGCAAACACCCACACACCACCAAGACACACAGAAACATTTCAGTTGATGTACTACATTTTTTTAGATAGAGTAAAATCCACTGATATACATTAAAAATTACATCATTATAACTATGATTATTTTCTACTTCTGAAAATTAAAATCTACATATCATGTTTTTAATTGACCATGATACCTTCACTAGTATGTCAGTGGCAGAAACATCCACTGTGACAGACTCCTCCTCAGGGGCAAGGTCATCTTTGCCCACCAGTAAGCCTGCTTCCAGGGCCGCTCCCACGGCGATGACTTCATCAGGAGGCGCTGAGCTGAGGAGCTCCACCTCAGGAAACATATCACGGATCATCTGTTGGAGGCGAGGGATCCTGGCTGAGCCGCCGCAGAGAACCACCTGAAGTAACAACGTTTATTACTGCTTATATTTCACATCAATTCAGTCTTGTCCACATCATTAAAACTACGACTGCAGGGGGATCATTACACACCATACCTTGTTTATGTCACTGGTTGAGAGTCCTGCCTCCTCTAGCAGGGTTCTGATTGGCTGGATGCTCTTGTTGAAGAGCGAGGAGCAGAGCAGCTCAAATCGAGCTCTGAGGAAACACCACACTGAGGTTATCATGTTGGTAACAACTATTTATCCACCCAGACTTTGTCTACATTTCATTGGCATAAAAAACATGTCAATATACTGATATTATACAATATTCATTCATTCATTTTCCCGTAAGAAGTAAAGAGCGTGAACGTATCATATTGTAAATTATTGGAGCCTCCATTGCTAATTGGCTGATCGCAGTCAATGTGTCAATGTCAGCGCAACAGGAAGAAATTAACAGTATTTATATTTACTGATTCACTGATTTTCTTTCCCCGCCCATTGTAGCGAGTGAGGAGAATCTGCCGCTCACAGACAGATTGGGGGCTGATCAATCACTGAATACACACTTAATAAAACGGGATATTTGTGTGATTCAAACAGCTGTCTGTGCAGATTACTATTTACTATACAGCGACAGAAATAGACTTGGACTGTAAACAAAAGCAAGGGGTCTCTGGTTACCATAGAGACGACTGAAACCTTTCGCCGGACCATAAATTGAAGATATCTCACAACTGTTAAGTTTCTGTTGAGCGACACACTTCAAAAGTGTTGCGCATCCAAGCATAAATCAGCCTTTACCTTTTGGTTAATGTCAGGTTTTGTGATTTGTCCTTTACTGTTTAGGTGCATCTAGAATATTGATTCCAGACATGAACTAACGTGATAAAGCTGGAATCGCTAGCTGTTCTAGTAACACATGTTTTCTGTCATCTGCATGGTGAAGTTTGTTAATGTGTTAAGACAAGCTTAGTGTCATCTCAAAAGCTTACCTGGATATGTTGCATTCAAAGTCAGTGCCGTCGTGCAGGGAGTCAACGAAGCAATTGGCTGACCCCAGTGAGGACAGAGAGTGTTTGGCCATGTCTGCTCCGTTCATTAGCTTCATCATGGCCCGAGCGTTACTGCTCACATCGTGCTTAAAGGTGCTGCACAGCAAACACATGCAAATAACATGAGGATGGCTGGCAGGAGTCAGATATAGAGAAGCTATGTTGTACAGGAGCAGATGTGTGTTTGTGAATCAGGATACAAGATAGAGTAACAAAAGGTAGAAAACATGAAGCGAACGAGTGACAGCAGATTTTCAAGGAGCTGCAGAAAACACAGCAGTTACCGTTTGAATTCGGCAGCTAGGTGCTGGGCCAAGGCCTGGGTGAAGCTCTCTCCTCCAATGCTGTGGTCAGTGTGGGTGTTGAGAACCCGGAACATTCCTCCATTGACCTGCAGCGCTGTCACACTCAGGGACGTCCCGCCCAGCTTATACACTAAGACGTGGCTGTCGACACAGTACAGACCAATATGTCAAGTCAAGTCAAGTCAAGTCAGGATTTATTTCTAGAGCACATTTAAAACGACGGCAGTTGACCAAAGTGCTGCACATTGAGGGGTACAGAGTTAAAACAACATCAATAACAAAAATAGAATAGATGTAGAAAACAACGACAAGAAGACAGAGCAAACAGTGCAAACATTAAAATAGCAATAAAAAAAAAGAACACGAGATCATCGTGCTCAGGCTGAATGATACGCCAGGTGGAAGAGAAAGATTTTTAGGGAGGATTTAAAAGTCTCAAGGGACTGAGAAGATCGAATGTGAAGGGGGAGGCTGTTCCAGAGCCTGGGGGCAGCCGCTGTATAAAGGCTCTGTCACCTTGGGACTTTAGTCTGGTTTTTGGCACCACCAACAGTAGTTGGTCCAAATTCATTAAGGTTCTGGTTGGGAAGTGGCGCAAAAGGAGCTCAGAGAGGTACAGAGGGGCCAGACCGTTGAGGGCTTTAAAAACAATTAAAAGGAGTTTAAAATCAATACGAAAACGGACCGGGAGCCAGTGGAGGGAGGCTAAGACTGGCAAGATGTGGTCGTGCTTTTTCTTGCCCGTGAGGAGGCGAGCAGCAGCGTTCTGGATGAGCTGTAGATGGTTGAGGGAGGACTGATCCAGGCCAACATAAAGGGAGTTACAATAATCTAATATGAGGACATATTATCTGTAATCAATACATTTTGATGTCACAATGAGTCCTTTAAAGGTCCAGTGTGTAGGATTCGGGGGCATTTATTGGCAGACATGGATTATAACATTCATAACTATGATTTCATCAGTTTATAATCACCTCATACCAAGAATGTTGTGTTTTCTAACTCAGAATGAGCCATTTAGATCTACATATGGACTGGGTTCTTTTCCACAAAGAAAGTCTGCATGTTGTTTCTACAGTAGCCTGGAATAAACCGAACACTGGCTCTAGACAGGGCCACTTGCATTGCCCACAGTATTTCTCCAAGACACTTTGGAGAAGTTTGAGTTCTGTAACCTCACTGCCAGACGTCACTTAATGGTCCTACACACAGGACCTTTAAGCAATAAACTCTAACAACCTGTGCCAGGAACATGGCAGCGTACCTCTTTCCAGAAGAACAGTCCTGTCCGATGTTATAGGCCAACAGAGCAGCAGCAGGTTCATGGATCAGCCTCAGTACATGGAAGCCTGCAGCTTCAGCTGCCTCCCTGCACAAAGCAAACACAGCGGTAGACTTCATTTTAAGGTGTCACTTGGTGCGTCTACATGAACTCTAACAATTCCCTAATAATCTAACTCAGAATAAAAATGCCTCATGTAAACTCAATCAGAGGAGACTGGCCTCATCTAGCTACAGACTACTGCCTCTCCTTCTATACCTGAATGAATTGAATTTTCTCAGTAAGGCAGGTAATAAAGGTTCTTCTTCTTCCGTTGTACTTCCAACAGATGAGACACTTCAGCAAGTAGTCAAAAAAGTTCTATCCCAGTTTGCACATCTTATTGAATCACTTAATTTTTTTAGTATTAATGTAAACAGTTGAGTTGGAATCACTCTAAGAATGATTTCAATAAAGAGGACTGAAGAGGAGGGGATTCTGTCATGAACTCCTGGTGAGAGCGAATGGCCTCTGGAAGCTTTTTAAGCCACTGTGGCCGTAATGTCCCACAGCCTGTGTGTGTTGTCATCCAATATAAATTATATAAAACAATCTTTTTAAACACAAACATGGTGTTTTACTCAGGAAAACTGAGCTTTGCATCCACCTTATTCCTAAACCCTATGAAACC